TCTTCCCAGGAGCCTTTCTACTCCAGGCTGGTAGCCTTTCTTACTACCAGCGTTCCATCTCAGGTATAGCAGCTTCTAAGGGAGGCTAGCTGAATACACTAATGACATGATAGCATGGAGCTTTTATTGTTGTTCTTAGAGTCCAGAGCATCGGTTCTCAATGTGGAATCTTGTGGAGCTTAAAACCCCAGCCACAAAAACCTTAATACCCAGTCCCTCCCCACTCCTCCCCTTATCTGCCAAGTTCTGGCATTTTAAAAAACTTCCTAGGATTCTAATGTGCAGACTACATGGAGAAGCACTAATAAAAAAGTCAATTCCTTGCACCTTTGCACTCGTTAAACATCTAAATTACAGAAGGGGTTGAGGGTTGCAATTGCTTTCCACAAAAGAAAATTTTAAAGACTGCCTCTTCTGAAACTGAAGGGAAACCTCTTCAGACACTTTCTGTTGGAAGAAACATTTCGCCAATCACAAAAGCCATGGGAAATTAGAAGGAAGTGATAAAGTGAAAGGATGTCTATGGTTGATGAGGCAAAGGGTAAAGGAACTCTTTATTAAATTACTATTTATTCAGTGGAATAATATTGCCTATGGGCAAAAATGTACATCCACCCTTTTGAAGGGCACCTAAGAATTTGTTTTTTTCCTTCACATGATTTTCCCCTTGGCAGGAAAGCTGCTTTGGTTGCCAGAGGACTGGGCCTTGGTGAATGCAGGTAAAGAGGTGTGAATGACTCCACTGACTGAAAGAATCACATTTAAAGATGTGTCATGGTGTCACTGCTCTGACTTCAGGTTCCTCCCAGCCTTTCGCTCCTCTCTGATCCTCCAGATCCTTTGATGACAAACTAAAGAATGCAGCCAGATTGCAGGCAAAGCACCCAATCCCAACAGAAGCATGAAACTCAAGCCAAGGATGACTCTGGAGTTGAGGTACCACCAGACAGGAAGATCCGTGAGCACAGGACCACATCTGTACTGCTCCTCACTGTTACCCAGCCCAGCACAGAGAAAGCACTGGTGGGTATCTGGTGAATGGAGAGATGAGGGAATTTCCCACAGTGCTATTTTTTTCAGTCCCTCTGTATTTTCTGGCAAACCCTTAAAAGTTGAAAGAGGCATATACGGGGCTTGCTTTTTGTTCTTGTTTTTGTCATAAGCAGAATCAGTTGGAAAACTAGTGATGGGAGGGATATAACCAGTCCCTGACATCCACCACAAAAGGAGACTTAATTTGGTACAAAGATCTAGCCTAGTGGGGTAGTTGGTCCCACACTTCACACAAGACACTTGTGTTTGTTGGTTTTTTTCAATGAACTTGACCCAATAAGATATATATTAATCCTTCCTTTCAAAAAGGCCCACTTTGCTCCCTTCTTACATGCACAAGTCTTTACTGAACTATACTGTCACACACAATGAAAATTGTCGTTATTGAGCTAAGGACTGAGAAACCTAGGTTGGTTACTTTTTATTTAGTATATTATTATATTTTATTAAGAAATTACATTCTAGGGCCGGCCGAGTGGCGCATTGGTTAAGAACTGGCTTGGGATGTCCCAGTTCAGATCCTACATATGAGGGCCAGTGACACTGCCCTCTGTAGCTAAGATGTTGAACGGCAGCTCGACCTGGGGCTGGGCTGCCGTGGGTTGCCAGCGACGGCGTAGGCTGCAGTCCCTTGCTGCAGTGGGCTGCCATAAGCTACCGTGTGTAGCCGGCAGCCAGCGTGAGAGGCCAGCAGCCGCCGTGAGCGGCTGTCCACAAGCCGGCAACTGATCTGCCTCGCCCGGGAAGAGCGCAATGATGGTGCCAGCTTGGGCCAGTGAAGCAACATCCTCCACAACTAGACTAAAGAACAAAAGGACAGCAACTTGTCTGTTCCCCTTCCCCGATTCCCAGTGCTGTTCCCCTCCCCCAATTCCCCAATAAAATCTTAAAAAAAAAAAAGAAATTACATTCTACTGAGGTGAAAGGAAATACACTGCCTAACATTTAAGGATTCCAAGAACCTCAGTAATAATGCTAGATGCTTGGAGCTGACAAAGGAAGCCCATCATTTCAATAAACTGAATTTCTTCATAGACATGATGACTAAAACGACACCAACAATGGATACAGACTGGATTCCCACCCTTGGAGAATGTGAAGCTATCACACTGACAAGCTTTCAGACTTCACGTGGGGGAAGGAAAACTTTCCCTAACATTTGCTACATGTGAAGGCTGCCTCTATTTCTAGGTCAAATTAACATCTGGGTAAGCTGGAGTTCACGGATAAACACATCTCTTCTAAAGTCAGAGTTTAAGATTCCACAAGTAACTAACTCAGTAGTCAGGATTTTTCAAAATTTGGTTCAAATGCCCTGAAGTGATTTAGTTATAATTTGTTAATTTTGGTCATTAAGCAAAGTAATGATAATGTTGAGATCAAAACAACAGGCACAGCCTAGGAAACAATAGGGAATTCTTTATTTATAAAGAGCTTCTATCTCCTTGCCTCATAAGGAATGCACTTGTGGTGAAGGGCTAAAAGCGGGGCAGCCAACATTAGGAATGTTTTCTTTAGGTTGAATCAAGAGCTGAAATTTGCCTTTTCGCAAGTGCCACCCAGTGGCTCCTGCCTGGCCTTGCATTGCAATACAAAGCAAAAATAGAGTCTCTCTTCTTGATGACTATTTTCTAAGATACAAATTCAGCTCTCACATCTCTCCTAGGCCATCTCTTCCCAAAGCCCTTCAACTATTATTAGAGTTCTCAACTCCTTTCCCACCTGGTCCAGCTCTTCTGAATGTGCTCATTTGCCAGTGTCCCTTTTCCATGTTTCTAACTTAAAAAAAAAAAAAGTTTTCACATAAATGGCTACAGCAATTGAGATTTTAAGCCATCCTTTTGTTGTATAAGTTAACACGGTGCACTGGAAAAACACATCAATTCTTACTACCTGGTTTAGATAGTTGTTTACATTTAGAATAAGAAGTCTGTGTCTCTAATTCTCCATCCACTGTTGGAACTTGGTGGGCCCCTGGGTGGTGCTTCCTCTGATGGAGTCATTCTAAAACTCAGCCCATGATTTCATGCCAATGACTGGGTCTTCCAAACCTCCTCATCAGGGCTTAGAGAAGTTTATTTGGGAGATATTAAATCACAGGTAGAAAAGCAAGGCATGGACAGTGATAGTCATATTCTACCCTATTTTCATATGTAGTAGATATTCCCCCACTCCCTTCAAATTGGTATGCCCATTATATTCCAGAAGTAAGTTAGGAAACAATCCTAAACTTCTTTGAAAATATCTTTTAAAAATGAATCTCTGATTTGGGTACCAAATGCTTACAGATAATAATTGAATCAGAAGCCAACCAGCATGAGGTTTTGTTCACTGGTTCTCTAATATTAGATGCAAAAACAATACAGACCACCACCCTGTGGTGAGGTGGGAGAAATGCACTGCTCTACAGTCAAGGAACCACACACAAGAAAGCCCTGCCCCAGACTTAATGTGTGTGAAATTCAGAAGCAGAAAAGTGGGCTCTGACAACCATGGTTCACTGAGATGCTAATTGTGACATAGTAATGCTATTCCTTGGGAAACGCACTCCTGACATCTACCTAGTGTTGACAAAGGGCAGGATCTACCCATCACTGTTGCTGGCCGTGCTGCTGTAGAAGTGTGCAACGGGACTGTGAAGGTGCACCTATGGGTCCTTAATCTGAACACCTGCTCCTCATTCTTTCATTCCACTGCTCCCTGAGACTTGCATACGAGCCGATATAAGACTCATAGGATTCAACACCATACCACTGGATAACTCGTTTGGGAAGCAGATTTTATCTAACATAGATGTATATCCATATCCTACACACAAGAAAAAAAAAGTATCTTTTTCCATCCTCACAATTTCCTGACTTTAACCCCACTCTACTAATTACCTCCAACATTTTATAGATCAAAGAGATATACTTTTAAACTTCTATTTGTCTGTCATGTGTGTGAATTATTTATTAGAAGTAGATATACTTTTAATTTTAGTAATTCTTTATAAAAAGAGATAAGTTTTCAGAGTAGTGCTTAATATAAGGAAAAAAATATTTTTCAGTTTTTCCACTGCCAACCAAATGTTTAATTAAATTGACACTTTTTCTTTTCTTTGCAAGTTAGGGACTTAGACCCCCTAGGGAATTCTTATAACCCTATTAATACTAACTGCTGTTTTTTCTATCTAATTTTTTAAGTGAGAAAGAAAAATTATAATAATATGTGATTAACTTTACCACAGCATGGACTTTCTTCTATTGAGTATCACAAGAAAAAGAGACGGGTTATACTAACACAGGTTAAAAGAATTTTTTTTTCTCTTACAGAAATAGAAATGTTCGACTTACCTGCTTTTTTCATTTAAAAAACAGAAGTAGTAAACTATGTCTAGCATATAGTAAACCTATAACTGGTTTCACACTACATAGACAGTGAAGGAGAGGAAGTATGGTGGAAAAGAGAAAAGATAAAGAAGAAACAGGAGTAGGAGAAGAGAATGAGAGAAGAAGAGAAAAGAAAGAGAGGGGAACAGACAGGAGAAGGGAGTAAATGAGGCACACCCAGAAATGAAGAAAGGACAAGAGTGGTCGCCAGGGGAGAGGCAGGCAGAGCAGGATGCAGAAAACTGAGCTGAAGTAACCTTTTCTTGTCACACCCGTTGGTCCCTGAGCTGTACACACCAACATATGGTATTGCTGTCCTTGAAAGTGGGTGCACTTATGAGCTGTACATCACAGCTTTCTTAACTGTAACCCTTTGATCTGGAGAAAGCCCTCTTTTAGAGAGATAAACACACAGGGGACATAGGAGGAAATCCCCCTCTGAGTCAAGATGGCAGTGGCCTAAACAAGTTCACTGTGAGCTGCAGAAAACTGAGCTGAGTCAGACTGGGCTCTGGGGCTGAAATGTCCCCACCACAGGAAGCAATCCCGGGCCCATGACCTTTTACAAGGGCTTACCTCCTCAACCATCTGCTTGACCTTCTTCTGCTGGCAATGCACCATGTCATCTAGGTGTCTGATCCGTTCCCGGAGGCTGGCGGATGCCTCTTCCAGCTGCTGATACCTAACACAAACAGAAGAAAGAGCAATTGAGTCCTACATCAAAGCAGCAATACCAGCACAGAAGGACATCTCTTAAAAGGAATATTGCCAAGAACAAGAAAGGGAACTCCAAGATGCATTTTCCTAACTTTGTGTGTATCCTAGGTGATTAACTACCAATTGACCATGCCACCATAGAAGAAATATAGGACTCTTTTTT